ACTGACTGGACGGCCTGTCTTGTTGTTTTGAGTTCTGACCTTCTTTAACCCTTCTTGAACCCTTCTTTAACCCTTCTTTAACCCTTCTTTAACCCGTGTTACTGACTGGACGCCCTGCAGGTAACCTGACAAGCTGAGAAGCTGACAAGCAGCAGGGCAAGAGCAAGGCGACATACGTGCAGCATGGGAAGAGCAACGCCGCAGACTGACAGCACCAGCAACGCAAGGCGTTGCTACAGATGCAATCGAACCTTTGCAACAGATGCAATTCGCAAACCATGACATGCATGACCCAAGACCAACACAGTAAGATGACGTCGACAATTGACAGGAAGAGAGGTAGAGAGACCAAAGTGCAGGCAAGTCAACAAGAAAGAGGAAGTGGTAAGACAGATGGATTAAGTAGCAAGCCGGCGAGCATAAACAAGAGTGTGAAGCCAAAGAGATCCCGAGTGTGAAAGGACTGAAAAGTGTACAATGAAGGCACAGGCCTCCTAGTCATCATCTGTGATAAACTTCAAAAGCCAGACGAGGAWGGCRACAGGGCACTCAAGGGCAAGCAAAYGCAAGGCCCATYGGCCAGAAGGATCCGGTAAGGTGGGTGGGCATCCAAATGACAACACAAGCATTAGGAGCAGCAATAGGAGAAGTAAGGTGGGTTGGCTCAAYGGCAAGGATTAGGAGAAGCAYTAGGATCAAGACAACAAGGCACTGAACAGCGCGCAACGGCAATGCACATAGGCTAGAGGGCAAGGGGCCAGAAGGCAGGTGGGTTGGCTCAACGGCAAGGCGTGCGGCAGGACAGCACGATGAGCAACAGGCAACAGAGCAGCAAGGGATCGCGGCCGCAGCGAAGCAGCACCATCAAGGCAGTCCACTCATACATCAAACATGGACCATGGCAGAACATCACCTACTCACGCCTCAAGATGAACTCACGACGTTGTAGATTCAGATCACCATTCAGCCAGAAAGTCACTTTGACACGTCTGTCATCACCCACTGGCAGGGGGAACACACAGACAAAGGTATCGCTACCACAGCAGCCGGCATTCAAACACTGACTATTTGGCACATCTCAAAGGTGCTACACTTACACAGAAAAGACGCATTAGGGAGATACCGGAGAATGCACACAATGGACAAGAGATCCATTTGATTCCGTCAGGATTCCATCTCGTATTCGCTCATCAACAGGGTTGCATGTGTGTACTATTCTGGGAGTAACCTTATTGTACCTATGTTATTCCGTCGGGATTCRACCTCGGGAGTAGTACACACATGTAACCCTGTTGATGAACGAATACGAGATGGAATCCTGACGGAATCAAATAGATACAAATCTAGGCTACCAGAATGGCCCGGGACTAATTGACTTTTCTTTTAAATTTGTAAAAAATATCAAGATGAGCCTGAGGCAAAAGTTGCTCAGTTTATTTTCTGCATAACATAGTTTTA